AAATTTAAATGAGAACTCTGCTTTACACATTTAAATTATGCCATGCGACACAAAGAAGGTACCATTTAAAGATAAATAATAACCAACTGCATACACAAAGCAAACTCAATATTTTAGAGAGAATACTTTATATTTAATATATATAGGAAACGAGAATAAAGTAAATAAAAATTATTATTTTAAGTCACATAGTTATTTAAATAAACATTGTTATTACAGTTTGACAATAAATAAGAATAAAGTTCTACTTATCTGTTAAATGATAAATCATATAAGTGATAGTTCTTATTATCCATAAACAGATATTCTTGGGTTGCTTTATACTATTATCGTATCGTTTGAATTATCTTATTATTACTCATTCTTTTAGAATGTTGTAAGGCCTTACAAATCGTATCACACAATTTAAAAACACAATTTTACGATAACGTTAGCGTAATGTCTTTTTACATTCTGATAAAAAAGATGAGCAACAACGATATTCTGATATTATAAACAACTCGCCGTCGTCAAGACGTACGATCTGATTCTCGATGCAAATTAAACTCGAATCAATTACTTGAATTAGCTAATGAGAATTAACTTGTTTATTCCAACATTCGAGCTTCAAAATTTCCGTTTGCTGCTAAAAGAGCTAAAAATTTTTCTCTTTCCAAAATCTTTGTGTGTAATATGCCATATTGCACCGCTGGGCAGACCGAAATTAAAGAGCCGATAAGGCTTGCTAGAAGCTGGATTTTACATGATTTCTTGTTTAGCGTAGTGAGAGTCTTTTGAAGGAGCTTATTCCTTTTATCCGGTGGAATTGAAATCGAAAAATTTTCAGTATTAAAAATGAAACCCAACAAACGAGCGCACCTCGCCGGAGTGAGCACACTTTTGCGCGCGTTAACTCTGAATCCTAGAGAGGATAGAATGCTTAAAGTTACGGAAACATTCTCTAGACATTGGTCATACGAGGATCCGATGAGGAGAAAATCATCCAAGTATCCAACTAAGAAGATATTTCTCCCTAAGAAAATATAGAACTGGTTTCAATATCTTAGTAAAAATATGAGGCGCCGATGCAAGTCCGAATGGTAGGGCTCTAAACTGAAAAAGTTGACCCCGGAATCGAAAACGCAGAAATTTTCTGTCCTCCTGATGGATTGGCAGAAGAAGATATGCGTCCTCTAGGTCAATAGAGGCTAAAAAATCACCTGGAGAGAGGACGTGAACGACCGTTTTCCAATTCTCCATTTTAAAATGTGGAGCGATAATAAACTTGTTGAACCGTTTGAGATTTAAAATAAATCTCCAACCTCCAGATGATTTCTCTATTATAAAAAACGAGGACAAGAATTGCCCCTCACAATCTGTCACAGGC